CAACTCCCAGAATTCCCCACCAGCCTAGCTAGCTGGGGAATTCTGGGAGTTGAAGTCAAGACTACTTAAAGTTGCTAAGGTTAAGAAACACTGCCACAAACATAGTCACTGGCCTTTTGGCGCATATGAAATTGATGCCTTAGAATATAAACCACAGAATTTAACAATACTGGTAGTCCTCAACTTACGACCACAATTGAGCCCAACATTTCTGTTAAGCGAGATGGTTGTTCAGTGAGTTTTGCCTCATTTTACGACCTTCCTTAAGTGAAGCTCTGTAGTTGTTAAGTTAGTAACAGAGTTGTTAATTAGCCTGGCTCCCCATTGACTTTGCTTGCCTGAAGATTGCAAAAAGCGATCACATGACTCAGGGACACTGCAACCGTCATAAATATGAGTCAGTGTGCCAAGTGTCCAAATTTTGATCACCCTGACCATGGGAATGCTGCAATAGCCGTAAGGGTGAAAAACTGGTCATAAGTCACTTTTTTCAGTGCTGTTGTAACTTCAAACGGTCACTAAATGAACTGTTGTAAGTCGAGGGCTACCTATAAATATGTTTACATTTGAGAACCTGGGTTGGCATTTCTGTTTTTAAGCTGAAGAGGATTTTCTTTAAAAAAGAAGAATAGATTGTTTTAGCTTTGTTTTAACAGTTAACCTTTAACTGGCCTGACAAAATACACATTATGGTTTTTTTTCAAATTATACAGCGAGCAAGTCAAACTATACCGCGGACAAGTCAAGATTGCAATAGTTATGGCCCTTAGATTTCTATATACTGCTTCACAGTCCTCTACAGCCCCCTCGTTTTACAGAGTCATCATCTTGCCCTCAACAATCTGGGTCCTCATTTTACCGACCTCGGAAGGATGGAAGGCTTGAGTCCACCTTGAGCCGGTCAGGATCGAACTCCTGGCAGCGGGCAGAGTCAGCCTGCAATACTGCATTCTAACCACTGTGCCACCAGAAAGGAGAATGAGAAAGGGAATAAGAGAAGAAGCAAGGAAAGAAGGAAGGGAAGGAAGGAAGGAGGAAGGAAGGAATAGCAATAGCACTTATATACCGCTTCACAGTGCTTTTACAGCCCTCTCTAAGTGGTTTACAGAGTCAGCCTCTTACCCCCAACAATATGGGTCCTCATTTTACCGACCTCGGAAGGATGGAAGGCTGAGTCCACCTTGAGCCGGTCAGGATCGAACTGCTGACAGTCAATGCCTTTTCAATCACAGCTTCCTCCTAGTCTGGAAATTGACTCATAACTACTGGACTTTCTTGGTTTCAAATGTTTCGCTCCTTATCCAAGTAGCTTCTTCAGTCCTTTGACGTAGATTTTCTTGGACATCTTCCTGTCTCTCTTGGAAAGTCAGAGCTGGTTGAGCCAAAAGATCTTAGGAGCTGGAATAGTCTGGCTTCTCTTAGCTATGAAAGTTGCATGCTGGTTGGTTGGATTGTCGTGTGTTCTTAGTCCTATATATGTGATTTTATAAATTATATGGATTGCTACTTTTGTTTTTGTGTTCTTCTGAGGTTACAGAAGTAGAATAGAATAGAATAGAATTCTTTATTGGCCAAGTGTGATTGGAGACACAAGGAATTTGTCTTTGGTGCATATGCTCTCAGTGTACATAAAAGAAAAGATACATTCGTCAAGAATCATAAGGTTCAACACTTAATGATAGTCATAGGGAAACAGTCAATATAAATCTTAAGGATACCAGCCACAAGGTTAGTGTCATATGGTCATAAGTGGGAGGAGATGGGTGGTGGGAACGATGAGAAGATTAATAGTAATGCAGACTTAGTAACTAGTTTGACAGTATTGAGAGAATATATGACATAGCTATCACACTTATATACCGCTTCACAGTGCTTTCCAGCCCCCCTCTAAGCAGTTCACAGAGTCAGCCTATTGCCCCCAACAACCGAAGAGCCTGTAGTACAATGGACTAAAGCACTGTAATTAACATCTGCTGCTTGCAATTACTGCAAGTTCGAATCTCACCAGGCTCAAGGTTGACTCAGCCTTCCATCCTTTCAAAGGTAGGTAAAATGAGGACCCAGATTGTGGGGGCAATAAGCTGACTTTGTATAAATATACAAAAGTATGAAGGCTATTGCTTAACGCATTGTAAGCCGCCTTGAGTCTCCGGAGAAGGGCGGCATATAAATCAAAATAAAATTTAAAAAAAACCTGGGTCCTCATTTTACTAACCTTGGAAGGACAGAAAGCTGAATGAACCTCGAGCTGGTCAGGGTCGAACTCCTGGCAGGGGGCAGAGTTTGCCTACAAGGCTGCATTCTAACCATTGCGCCGCCACTGAGATGCGCTGAGTAACAGCGTAAGCTGTTAAGTGAAGGGAGAATGCATTTTGGAAGTGTTCGTTTAAGGAGAGGGGTTACAAAATCCAAAAGATGAATAGGTGAAAAGAAACTGTTTGGTTCCAAATGTTATTATTTTTTCCCCGCAGTTATGACTAGGAGGTCTCTCAAGAATGATTGTGGAAGAATCCTTAGCTGATTGCTTAATAGAAAAGCCAAAAAAAAAAAAAAAATTGGGCAGAATTTCTTGTATTTTTAAGCTGAGGTCTACTGAGGTGTAATAAATCATCGCTTTTGCCAACAGGGTGTTGTTATCCACAAAATGAGAATATTCTCATATGCATCAAACTGAGGCAGCTTAGTCCTAGTGACTTCACTACATAGTTCTGTAGTGATCTAAACTTTCACGTGTTCTGTTTCTAATATTTCAGCCTGAGAACCACTTTGGACAAAAATGCATCATTTTTAAGAGGAGACAAGATGTTAGGAAGTCGGTCCAATATTTCAGCTTCTTTTCTGGATAGTTTAGCTGAGATGTTGATAATCGTCCAAGAACTTGATGCTGCGTTTTATTGTTCAGGTAGTCCTCAGCGTACGACCAGAATTGAGCCCAAAATTTGTTGCTAAGTGAGACAGTTCAGTGCATTTTGCTCCGTTATATGACACGCAGGCAGAGTGGCGCAGTGGCCTGGAGGTGGAGCTCTCGCCTCACCATCAGGAGGCTGTGAGTTCGAGCCTAGGTAGAGGCAGATATTTCTCTCTCTGGGCACAATGAGAATATATCTGCTGAACAAAACTCCGCATTGGCGACAGCAAGGGCATCCGGTCAGGAAACACTCAGCTCCATTCAGTTTCCCAACCCCGTAAGGTATTATGGGGTCATTAAAAGAAGATGATATGAGACAGAGCAGCTCTATTTGCAAGAGTGGCGGGCCGGCGTACTTACACACACACACACACACACACACACACACACACACACACA